ATATAAGCTCCTAATGCTTTATTAGTTATTTGTCAAGAAGCAAAGACAGGTTTCATCAATTTATGTCCTTTTGGTTAAAAGAATGAAATGAGCTACAGTGAGAACCTTGTATTCTAGAGTTGGCCAGTACTCTGTGTTGGAAGGAAATTTAATAAAATTAAGAGAAAATTATTGCCCAATACCACTGGGCCATCTAGTTCACAAAATTAGTACGCAATGTATAGGTTGTGTCTACTTATATGCTAATAACATATAATATGCACACATATACATATTAGATACATATGTATACACACTATATAACCGAGTGTATATGTAATGCATGCTTCGGCCATATTTGGTGAACTAGATGGGTCTCACTCCTGTTCAGCAAGGTTCTGTGGCTGAATTAGTAAGACAGGGCAAGTTTCTTTCTTCTGAATTTGTAACATGTGTATGTGTGATCATGTGTTTCTGTCTTGAACAATTCTGAGCCTTACCTCTTTGTTTATCCTTATAGTATGCTATTAGCCAACTGAATAAATTGGAGGACAGCATTTGGGCGCGATGGACAAGGAAAAAGCATCATGATAAATTGACAAGTAAGAAACAGTTTGTTTTGAGTTTTGAATGTATTGAGATGTCTTATTATCTCCTCTTAGTATGTTATTCTAGCTTTGCAGCTAATTACATTTCTAACATGTTTGAGTTATGGTAATAAGTATTGTCGTTTTACCTTATCTTAAAATTATTTGTTATCTTGAAGGGTGCTCTCCATCTTTGATGTTTTATGAAGTAGACGATTGGAAGTGATTCCAAATGGGAAAAAAGATCATATTTCCTCACTATTCATAGTTATAAATTAGCTTTAGTCATAGTTACAAATTAAGTTCTAATAGTTCAAGATTTTATATAAGGAGCTCTCTTTTATGTTGTTACAACAACCACCCAACATACCCAATGTAATCCCACAAGTGGGTCTAGGGAGGGTAGTGTGATGCAGGCCTTACCCCTACTACCTAGGGAGGTAGAGAGGTTGTTTCTGATAGAGCCCCAGGTCAAGGACAAGTATACAAAGCAGCTCTCTTGTTTGTAGTTAACCATCTGATTTCAGTCAATTTTTTCTCTTCTTCTATCCTCTTTCACATGGTATCATAGTGTACCACTTTGGCGAAGATATATGTAGTTTTCCCTACTCTTGAATACCTATTCAACTAAATTATTTCCATCTTCACTTATTTTTTTTCCTTTGACCGTTCTAGCGGCACCACCTTTACCTCCGGTGACTTATTCCGCAGCAATGCACCTCTGATAGATCATTCTGGCTGTACTGTCTCTTTCGACCACAATTCTGTCCATTCTTCCTTGCAGCCTTTCAAGCTAAACATTCCCAGACTTGTTATTCTCTTCTTTCTTTTCGTGCTATTAGAATTTGGATCTCGAGTCCTTCCTCTAAAGTCTGAAAACTGAACTTCTGGTACTGGTAGAAAAACTTTTTTTTTAATGGTATAAACAATGTAATTAGTTCCTTCTTCTATACATTAAATTTCAAGTCACTGTTTCAAAAAAAAAGTTATGTTATCTTCTTTGTCTTTATCAGAGTTTGGGTGTTGAATCTGTTCTCTAAATGTTGACATTAGTGATCCTTGTTTGAACAACTTTTTGGTACTCTTCAGCTGTCAATTTGAACAATTGACGGAAGCAATATTTTCTGTTCTGCAATTGTCGGCAATGTTTGTTGGAAAAATAATTTCAACACTATTTTCTTTCTGGTATAATTCAAGCAACTGTTTACTATTCCAGAGACGCTTTTTAGCCTCTTGTTTACTAATATTATAAGCAATCTTAAGTTGTTTCATCACCTTTAGTTTTAAGAGGCGTGCTGATATTCAAGAGAATTGCTAAGCTAGTGTAAAATATTCTAAATGATTATGTTAGTCAAGATAAATAAAAAGAAAACTTTTGGAAATTATATCATAATTAGGAATGCTGGGAATAACAAAACTTTTCTTATTTCACGAACTGAGCATTTAAGCTTTGAATATGCATGGGACAGCCTATGACTTTGTTGCTTGGAATGTTTCACACAAGAAAATGGGGAGAACATGATATGAATAAAGAGCTTCAAGCCTTGTTACTTATTTTTAGTTTAAAAGGGGATCGGGGAGATAGCTGACCTTAAATCTATTTACCGTTAAGCATAGCTTCTAGATAATCAATATCAACTTGGATTTTTAGTCCATAGAGTCTAGGTATGATTCTTATCATGATGAGTGTCACTTGAGTAGTAGTATTCCTTGCAAAACAGATTTACTTAACTTTATTTTTTTCCAAACAAAGAGAACCCTGCGGAGGAAACCGCAAAAGGTTTCCAGAAGAAGGACTCATTCGATGGAAGCAGAAAGGATATCAATGCTGCAATTGACAGAATGTGTGAATTTACTGGTAAGACTTCTGTTTTGTGCTCTTATCTTTTTTGGATTCTTTGCAAACAATACAACTTTGGAGAATGTGAATTTACTAGTGAGAGAATTCTTCTTCGTGTCTTGTGAGCTCATTGCAGATAATTCCTAATTCATTTTTGTTAATACTGCAGGAACAAAAATCATTTTCTGTGACTTGAGAGAACCATTCATTGAGAATCTCTATAAACCCAGTGTTTCACAGTCTAGGTTGGAATCAGTAATGGAGCCACTCGATATGGTAAGAAAAAGAAATAACTTATTGCTTTTTAACAACAATTGAGAGTAATCATCCCATGAGATTTCAATACTAATGCTCTGATCTCTTTTGCTCCTTGTCTGCCTCTATCTTTTCACCTTCTTATCTCCCTTTTTTGATGGAAACAAGTTTGGCAACGTAATTTTTGGTCTTCATATTTTGTTTAAACCGCTCATGTAATGAGATGTTGAGATCTGGAAAGTTGAACTACAGTCACTGAAATAGAAATCTGATTCATAAATCTTATCTGAACTTCGTTCATGAAGCACCTTTTTATATGGTCAGAAACTTGAGTTGAGAATTTTTTTTCTACATCTGCATAAAAGGACCTATAGTAACATGTATACTTGTAACTAATGTCATGCTTTCTTTTATACTACGGCATATCAAAATTAGTACGAAATCAATGAAATGTGATGGCATCTGCAGGGAAACCCTCTGAGCAAATCAATTTTGCCATCTAGATCCCTGATTTAGATTGTTGTTAAGAGGGATATAAAATAATATGGATTTTACTAGCGCATCTATCCGCTTTTCATATTTACTTGGGAAAAAGAGAAACAGAGATGGTTATAACTTTCTTCCAAAATTTGCAGGTTCTTAATCAACTTTGTGATGTGATAATGGAGCCACTGCGGGATCGTGTTGTAACAGGACTGCTTCAAGCATCACTGGTCTGTGCACTTATTACTGTTTAGTTTTTCTGTTTTAAACTGTAGTAATTTTTGAATTCCTTGAAAATCGTATTCACCAGGATGGCCTAGTCAGAGTTATATTAGATGGAGGACCATCACGTGTATTCTCCCTGGGTGATGCTAAGCTATTGGAGGAGGATCTAGAGATCTTGAAGGTATTTAAAATGGTTTTGGTTGGATATGCTCGAGAACTATCTGTCTCCTAATGATATCCAAACCAATTTTTGTCTACTTGATATCTCGAAGTGGTGGAGTTACAATATGGTTATTTCTAACCTACTGCTGCTTGTTTGTGAAAGGAATTCTTCATTTCGGGTGGGGATGGGCTTCCTCGTGGAGTAGTCGAAAATCAAGTTGCACGTGTTCGGCAGGTGATAAAGTTGCAAGGTTATGAGGTTAGTTCAGCAATATCATCCATAATGAAGTAATTAGCAGAGTTGACTGCATAAGACCTTTGTCCATCCGGTTACTGATGCTTGTTTCCTCGTTTCTCCATTCTTCTATCATGAAACTCTTTGTATGAGCAATATGCACTTTTCGCATTCTTGTTTTATCTCCCCTGATAACAATGTCCACATATAGCACGTTTCTTATGAATATAATTGTTTTGCATATAATTGGTCAATAAGATGCTGTAATGCTTAACTTTCATTCTAGAAAGAAATTATATGTATACGTTTAAAAGTCTGCTTGCTGCTTGAACATTGCTAAGCTGATCTAATCTGGTTTCTATGTCACACTTTTTATCCTGAATCTTCTGTGCGAGAATGCTACATGACTGACATACTGCTTGTTTCTTATGGTCCACAGACTAGGGAAATAATAGAAGACCTGAGATCTGCTAGTGAGTTAGAAATGCAGGGCGGAAGGGGTAAATTAGGTGCTGATACCAAGACCCTTCTTAGGATCCTGTGTCATCGAGGAGAGTCAGAGGCCTCTCAGTTTGTCAAGAAGCAATTCAAAATCCCCAAATCTGGAGCTTAGTGTACTTGTTGTGCCATTGATGAGATTGTAACATAATACACTATCGAAACTTCATTTTTAAGGATCTCATTTGTCAATGAGACAGTCTGCTGCACAGATTTTTTTTCTTCTTCAGGGAATGTACTTAAAACGTAGTTTTTTGTTTACTAGTTATATGTATATGTTTAGTGTGCAGTCTTAAACCTATTTGGAAGGCATGTATACACAATTTCTGCTGTCATGGGAGAACGGATTTGTTCTGGCAAGTGAGGTATTAAAGATTTTTCGTTGTTGCAAAACCAGTTCAAGAACAATCTGCTATGTTATTGGTTCTCCTTTTTTCTGGTTTATCACATAAAGTAATAGGAGAGGTTCACGTGAGGGGGGAGCAAGCTAGAGAACAAAAATTGAAAATCTCATTTGATACTATAACAGAAAGGAATTGGCAAAAACAGATCGCCTGAAAATTTTAAGCTGGTACAACTTAAAAAGGCCTATCCATCAGACATTAAAGATTGTACCGATTCTTTTTGGGACTTCAAAACATATTGTATTTCACGACTGCATCAACTTAAAACGGATATATTCATCTCAGGTGTCACGGGAACTAATTTAGTCTCAGAAGACTTGGATATCGAGACATTTAGAAGCAGGACAATGCCTATTAAATCCATGAATGATAGGACAGATCTCAAAATTACAGAGCATAGATCATCAGTAGAAAATTGTCAATATCAGAACTTAAACATACTCAATAATAGACAGAGATCTGTGTGTGCATTTGCTATAGATTGTCGTATAACTCCAAATGGCAAGCATAAAAAAGGAGGTATGTTACTCGTCATCTTTGTAAGGGTACTCCTCAGGAACTTGCCTCAGAAGCTTCAGTTGCAACTCAAATGCGTCATCCCCTCTGAGCATATCACGAAGCCACGTGACCTCTGTTTTCATTGACACCTGGGAAAATAGAGTGTTTTTCATTGAAACGAATTCTAGTCCAAGACAAATTCAACAATCTCAAAATTTTAACTGATCACAGTTATTCATGTAAACGCCGGACGATTGCATAGAATATTATTCTCTCATATCAATGTGTTGACTCCTTTGATAGCTTCCTCCAGGAAATGGCACCTTTGGCCCTTATATTTGGATGGTTTGGAAAGGAACATACAGAAAAGGGTTTGAGGGAGTTGAAAAATGTACAGATTATAGAGAAATCCTTTTTTTTTCTTTATCTTTTTCTTTTTTTTGACACTTTTGGCAGGCCTTTAACATCCCAGTAAGCATTGATGATTGACTACTATTTATAGAGAATCATGTATAAGCTTAGTGAAATTATTTGTAATTACATCTTGTTTAAGGAGCAACCAATACAGTTACCAGTTTCCATAAGAGAGCTATGCAACTATCCATGACAGATTATGTAAATAACCACTTTACTCTTTCCAGGTACCAAAGCAAGAGAATGAAATCAATATTTATGGGGATGTACTGTAGCATGGATGCAATAACGACCAGATGATAAATAAGATGAACTACGACGAGAACACCAATATGCTGTAACATGAAGTCAGAAGGAGTAGGAACCAACGTTGTTTAATGACTCTCAAATAGCATGGCAGTTCATTCCGTATTGCTTAAAATTAAAAACCTTCCTATACTTGAGAGGAATAAAGTAAGGAGAGAAAAACAAAGACACTCAAGCACATAATACTTGTCATTTTAGAGAGGGGGAAAAAATACATATTAAAGCTATGCATGTTTTGCACAGGACAGGTCATTGCAAGAAATTATACCATTAATTGGATAATCAGTTTGTATCGAGAGACAAAACTTACCATTTCTAATGCTCCCCTGACTACTCCACTTAAGATGTTACAATAATATAGGCCTTGACAGGTATCAGGGAGCTCAACGAAGTCTACCAAGGGGTTATCCTCCAAAATTAGACTGCATGTTGTTCCCTCAACATTCCAATTTGTCACTGTTGCAGTCACTCCTAGGAACATTTTGAGACCGACCTGTTGTCATGAGCAAAAGAAACCATGTTTGGTCAAAACACACTTTAAGCACTGGAATCTACACGGCCCAAAAGTATGAAGGCACTGAAGCATGATATTAGATTGACTGTACAATAAAAGCACTACAAAATTTCTCCACTGAATACTTGTCAGCTAAGGTTCTTACCTCATGCATATCGAGGGGAAGCCGGGGAGGTACAATGTATCTCCTTAACCCATAATATCAACTAGAAGGCTAAGCTCATAACTTTCTAGCAATCCCCAATCACTCCATCTTAAAGCAATGAAGTGATGTGCGTCAAGAGATCCTCCTTTCACATGTGTGAAGTATATCAACTCAGAATAAGCATGTGCTTCCTTGTTTTTCTTGATTTGCTTCTTTCTTATTTGTTTTCTTCATCAAGCTGACTCATTTTCTTTCTAGGCTCATCTTCTTTTTTTTTCTCTTCTACTCTCTTGCTTTCTCCTTTTTCTCCAATACTTGATTTATAGGTCAAATTCTAGGATGGTGATAGAATCACCCTTGGCAACTAAAAATAGTTCATAAGTAATGCTACTATAGATGTTGAATATGAAAGTAAATTAGCAAATTGAACTTTTATAGCTAATTTAATAGAAAATTGTAGTTGAAGTCATCCTCTTATGGGCTCGTTTGAGATTACATTTTTAATGCAATGTAATTTGAGTTTGTTGGAATTCATATTGCCATTGCTATCGCACACCTAAATATCATGGTCCAGTAGGGAAAGCTCTAGATATATTTTTAGGGACAAATTCAACTGCAAATGTCATGTGAGAGGAATTATCCTAGTGAAACCAAATAGAAATGACTTAGATGCTTGACGAAACAGTTTTCCGCACAGCAAAGCTACACACTTTCTTATCACTAATAGAGGCAGACAATTAAACAGCAGCTAAAAATACACCAGGAGATTTTTAATATGTGAAACCTAATAAAACAAGGATATTGATCTGTGAAGCCAATTGAAATAATAACTCCGAAAAAACTTCACATGATGAATAAACTCAAGGAATCATAGCTCAAACAGCATATAATTCTTTAGAATAAAAATGAGATAGAGACCTTGGCAATGACTTCAGCTGTCTCCTTGAAATCAACACACCTTGAAACATTAGACTTTGCCAGAAACTCGTCTATGAGCCTGATTCCTATATTATAACCCCTGCAATTCAATCAAACTTCAGTTTCCTATTCCTAAATCCTCGACGAACTCTGCATTTTACACTTCCATAATGTCACCAAAAAACCCTAGCTCAAGAAGAAAAAAATACTAATACCATATTACATTTGATCGAGCTGTTTATTGACCTCATCAACCTCCTCCAGATCAGTCAGCAGTTGGCGCACGATTGCTCCATACGTTAGAGTGAAAAGCTCTGCGTTCTTTGGCACCAAATAACAAAATACTCGTAACTAATAATTGTACAATTAATACTGAAATGAATGGAGATCAAAATCTCAAACTGTAAGGTTTTTCATTAGGATTTTGTGTTTACCACTCGTTCGACGTTGGCGAAAATGGCGTCTCCGGATCTGGGTACCACAGGAGCCATGAGAGTTCCTCTGCTATTGCGATCGGTTAATTGCTATATTGAGCTAACTAAGAAGAGAACGCATACGTGCTGGTGATTTTACTGGTTTATTTTGTAGAGAAAGTACAAGTAAATAAGCACAAATACACTTGTACCACTTTTAAAGCGCACATAGTAATTTAGCTAAATCTATTATAAGTTCGAATATACTTAGCTCGTGGATGACTTTGAACAAGTCTAGAGGTTCCTACAACCTCAGATCGCGTAACAAAACGGTATAAGTTGAGAAGGTATTTATATATCTTCCGATAATAGTGTAGGAATTTTAGAAGTACGTTCACAAAACGATTAACTAAATAGAAACATAGATAACACACTTGCATTCTTATCAAAAATCTTGCAATGTACTTTGACACAGGAAACACTTGTATCCAGTACATTTTTCTTGTTTGCTACAATTCTGGAGAAAGAGGAGTTCACAAGTTTAATCATTAATGTCAAATGAAATAGATAAAGAGCTGATAAATCAACTCAACAGGTCCTCTAGACTATGCCAAGAAAATATAACCAGGTACAGATGGGTGTTTTCAAATCACTAGGTGTACATTTATTTTCACTAGTTACATCTCTCCACATTCAGCAATCACACATGCCAGCTTTGGTTTGTTGTTTGCTCCAACAGCCACATTCTCAATCTTCCTGACCACTAAAAGACCATCTCCAAGAACACGCTGTGAAGAAAGCAGGAAAAAGAAAATTTCATCACATAACAATGGAGAAGAAGTTAATAAGAAGTTTCTTGTTTTAGATGAAACAAATGGTTGACAAAATGGAAAAACTCGTAGCTTGATATGTTTATCAGAGTGAATTTGATATAATTTATGTAAAAGAACATAACTGAATCTGATGAAACTTTGGTATGCAGTATCTGGCTCTAAAATAAGGAATGTATTAAGTGACTAGTCATGATAAGCAGAAGACGATGAGAGACAATGTCAAGGACAAAATCCTAGAAATGCCAGAGGCTAGGGTGAAAGCAAAGCATACCCCAAAAACGACATGCTTGTTGTCGAGCCACTCACATTTGGCACATGAGACAAAAAACTGCATGGAGCAAACAGCAGAATCAGAAACATAGGCTTTGTGATCTAATCCACTTTTTTCCTGGATAAGATGAATCATCCTTATGACTTACCTGACATCCATTAGTGTTTGGTCCGCTATTTGCCTGCCAAAATAAGGATTTTGTAATTTACGTCAAAATAGAAGGTAAGAATGCACTTGAAGAATACTTTCACACAGTTGTTAAAACACTTTTTAAGTAATTTAAATTGATACAATTGTGTACAAAAACTCTGAACAGATATGAAGATAATGAAATAAAGTATATTCATAGTAAGTGTCTATGCCATCAAAAACACAATTCTGACACATCCAAGGTAAAATCACCTCTATTCCATATTAGCTTGGCAAATTAACTATCTGGCTGCTTTCACAAACTCACGGACACACGTAGATCTTATTCTTCTTCAAACCTATCCTTCATGGACTCAACCATCTCATCAACTGTTTTAACCAGAATATTCAGCCCTTCTATTGCAGGAAAAATCCAGGCTTCAAGTACACTATCTGAGACCTTTGTTGACAGATTGTGCTTTCAAATGATTGTTCCAATGGCGCGAGCCTTTCCTAGGTGATCATTCCTAAGGCATCACTTCTTCTGTCCACATGGGCATCCTTCCAACGCTTCGCGGACAAAATATTAGGCAAACACCTTTTCTCTTCTTTTTTTTTCTTTTCAAATAGTGACGCTGGGGTACTGAGTCCATCATCTTAACATTGATTATTTTTTCTTTTGAGAAGGACCCCTCATCTTTTAGTCTAATCATTAAATTTCAAATTCCAGAAAAGTCACCTTTTCTCTTTTCTCTGTGATATTATAATTTAGCATTGTCTCCCTACTCAGAATATTGAATTTCTATTCGTTGTTACTTTCTCTATTCCTTCTCTATGACACCAGACTCTGGGTATTGAATCCCTCCTCTGACCGTTGAATTTCTGGTCACTGTTCTGTAAAAAGTTTCCTCCTCTTCCTCTATGGTAATAGAATTTGAATGTTTGGTGCTGTATTTCAATCTGACAGGGATTTTCTGGTAATGCAAGCAACATAAAGGGTCCTACATGACTGGTCTTGTATTGGGGAGGGGATGAGAAAAAAGTTATGACAGTAGATCAAAACTGTCTTTTTTGGTGTATCTGTCAGGAAAGGGATTGAAAAGTTCTTTAAGGGTGGTAAATCAATTGCACCCAAAAGTGTGTGGCCTAATAATAAATGAAGTGGTTGAGAGCCTTGAGGTCTAAGATCCCAGCATTGACAAATGATTCTTGTCATCTGTCCTAGTCTTGATGAACAGAGCCGCCTGATACCTATTGCTAGTGGGAGGTGGGAGGTGTCACGTGTCATGTGTCCTCTGGAATTAGTCGAAGTGCACGAAAGTTGTCCCAGGCACCATGGTCAAGAAAAAAGGCGGAAAATCAATTCTGATCAGCTCAGGCTTTTATTTTATTCTTACACCTTGCTCAGGTGCATGGGGGATCTGAGACACCAAAGAGTAATTGTTTTTAGAAGAGTAGAGTCAAAAAGTTTATTTTTTTGCAACTCAGGTTCTCCATACTACAGTTCCCCCCATCAGTATATATTATGCAGTTACACTTACATCAAGTTAAACAACTTGCAAAGCAGAATAATGAAAGTATAAGCTGACATTCAGCAAAAAATAATTATTTGTTACGAAGAAAAAATCACGATGCCATTAGCAACAGACATGAAAGGACCGGATACCATTGATAAAAGGCCAGGACCAGTGTGCTTGGCAATAAAGTTTTCATCCTCAAACTTGCTTCCATATATGGAAACACATCCACTGCCATCTCCCTGCAGAAAAAAGAATTAGCCAATGTTAAAAGAGATATAGAATAAAGCTAATATTATTGAGTCAAGCAACCGAAACCGAGTAAAGAAGTCATATCTGAGTTAATTATAACTAAGTCATCCGCTTATATTATACCTGTGTTGATCAGAAGTAAAATATTTGAAAGCTAAATATGTAACCTCTGAATAATTAAGAGCTTTTATCAGTCTCACATGTAATTAATAGTTGGCTGATTCCATCACAAACACTTAGACATATTGTATTTACACCTTAGGGTAATCAAAATATTTGGAGAAGACTAACATATCCAATACAGATTGTGAACAAAAGGAAATATGATAACAGTGATTTTTGATTCATTAGAAACTTTAGAGTTCAACAACAAACCCAGCATTAAGAGTGAACTGTGAAGGGATCAATTCTCTATTTTATTTATTTTCTTTCTTTGGGTCGTTATCAGTTATCACTATAGATAATGAAGCAACGGCTAGTACGCTAGCCAATATCAACCAATGTTCGAACACGGGTCATTTCTTTCTCGGTCTTCTTCTTAATAAGTAGATTCTGATTCATGCAGTCCTTCTTTGCTGCATTGGTATTTGGGGAGAGGAGGGTTAGAGTGAAGAATCAATTCTTTTAAACAGAAAGTTGAAGGACATCATGATTTAAAGAGATTGTCTCTACATCATGATTCAAAATATCAAGCAAAGCAAATATTTGTTATATAGATGAGAAAGCACACAATCTTCATGTAGAAAGAATTTAATGAAACTTACAGAGTCGTATTCCAGGGAAAGAAGTACTTTCTTAATATTCTTACATATGTAGTGCATCATTAAATGCATATTAGAAGTCAAATTAGCAGGATTAACAAGAATATGATGCATTTGGGGTATAGCAACCCTTCTGGAGGGAGAGAGAATCTCAGGAGGCATATTCTTATAGAAAGAACCAGAAGTACCTCGGCAATTGGTAAAATCTCATTTTATCAAAAAAAGAAATGGTGGCACTTTATGCATTTTATAAGTGATAGAGGATCTATCATGAAGAAACCTAGACTTCTATCAGTGATCTATAGTTCCCATCCTTGTAGGCTGCATTGACATCCTCTTAGCAAAAGTTAAGATACTTGTACAATAATCTGGGAATTCTTATTTCACATGAAGCATCAACGAAAGCTAAGGGAAGGGCAGGTTGAATTCAGAATAAATACTTGATAAAGAATTCTACGTACAGACCAAGAGAGCAGGAATTAACAAGGAAGCATGCTCGGTTCGAACAGATGATGGGGCAACGAAGAAGGTGTAAGCGATGCTCGCACCAATAAATACTGGGGACATAACAGTAATGTGTATATAAACATGATGCTCAGAGATATTACAGTATCTGTCAAACAAGTTAGGGTTACACACACACAGACAGTAGCCCTTCATAAGGTCGTCAGTCACCCCAATTCCTATGGAACTGGGAACCTCCGTTCCAGAACAACCCTTAATGTAGGATCCCAATACAAGGTTAAGGCTAGAGAAAGCAACCTTTAGGAAATCACCACCTTGGATCATGAAGTCCTTAATCACCCTATGGAACTGACAATTCTTAAAGCCTTGTGGTACTCCTGCTTTCCTAAAATATATCAGATTTGCAGATGAGTTAGACAACATAACCAAAAGCCAGTAGAAACTAATACAATCCCGACTAATCCTTTCACAAAACAAGTAATTCATAAAACTAGCATCAATTAAAACAAAAAAGGAATGGGAAACGAACATAATTTGATAAACTTACCTAAATTCTCCCGTGCACAGTTGCCTACAATTAAGCATTTAAAAGAGCTTTAGAATAGAACTTAGTAGATCAAAAAAAAAATAAGTAACATGATTTTGAAAGTAAAAGAATGTTCTTTGAGCACAATGATAAAAGACAAATTATCATGCCAGTGGCAAGTTCTTTAACAGTCTCACTGATGAAAAAGTATTAACATGTCATGTGCCTAAAGGATTTCATTCATACTTTCATTATTTAAGAAGAAAATCTTGAACTCTTGCTATGTTAGGCATTGCAACTGGCCAAATTACAATAACTTGAGGGATATTAAGCTTATACATCAATATCACCACCTTCCACTAATTATCCATTGGATTAGGGAAGGACGGATTTTCAGGCATTCAAAAATATAAAGAAGTGAACACACGAAAAATCCCCAATGGTATTCAAAAAATTCCTTAAACCTTATTTAATTTGAGAGAGTTTTTACCTGAAATTCTCAGCAGTTTTGGGAGTAATATCGGCGAAAAGCTCCATCTTGATGCGACCAGCAGGGATGTTGCCGATTGTTACATCGAAAAATACAACTGGGTTTTTTGGTACTTGTGGCCTCAGGTGCCATTCTACCACCCCTCCTCCCACGCCGCCAGACGCCATTTTTGGAAGTAGAAAGAGCTGCGACTAGCGGAGAATTTGCTCTGCGCTACTATTGCGAGCTTTCTCCTTTAACTTTAAAATATTCCTTCCGCTTTGTGGGTTAAGTTTTTTTTTTGTAAAATAAAATTAAAAATTACTCTAACTTTTTTGTCCAAATATTAGAGAAAGTATTAACTTATTTTTTTTAATAGAAAAATCATATATAATGACAAACTATTAATTCAAATTAAATGTTATAACTATAGTTTGATTTAATTGTGCCAGTAGCAAACTGTTGTCGGTAGCCTCTCTCCCTGAAAGTCTCGTTCCTCACTCGCCCTCGCCTCTCTGGCATTATATAAGCAGAAATGTATAAATTGTGATTCTATTTGTATAAAGCGAGAAAATTTATATATACATATGTAAATACATATATCTTCGTCATATACCCTTATAATTATACAATATAAATATTTCTCTGCCAATTTTCTTCTCTCTTTCTCGCTTATACAAACACAGATTATACAACATATAATATATAATTTATGTTTATACAAGCGAAAGAGAGAGAACGATATTTAATATACAAATGTTTTATTTCTATTCAATTGTACACAAATTCAAATTTTATACAGATACACAAACACATAAGATTGAATTGAAAGGTTGCTAACGATTTATACAAACGAGAGGCCGACGTCAATTTTGTACAAATGATTTGCAAGCGAAATCATACAAATTCGAAGAGGAGCCGTAGAGAATAGTAGAATTTCTTCCTTTGTTTATATGTATAGCGAAATAGTTTAGCTTCTTTTGTATATATGTATCTCGGAATAGCCATAACATGTTTGCTATGTAGCGCGATTATGTAAACTATATTTACAGCATACAAAAACAATTTTTGCATTTGCTATATGTGAAAGTTACACTATAAAAATTACACAATTTTCTTAGTACGTATAGAAAGTCATAAAACAATTCATTTTATAACCAAAAATAATATTAGTATTAAATTTTTTGTGATATCTTGGTAAAATTAAAAAAAAAAAAATTATCAACTTTCTGCTCTAAAAGTAAATTAATAATTTTGTTATGATAAAATGAAACTGAGTAATAATCCATAAAGTTAACACTATGATATTTAGGGAGACATATATATATATAGGTCTTCCTAGATGTCTTATCAATGGAGAAGTTGAGTCTAGACTTGTCAAAAGTATATTGCATTGAAAGGAACATGTTACATATTCTCTTCATCTTTGATTTCATAACACACATATTAGATCATTTGGTGTTCCCTATTTCATGTCCATCAAAGCAAAAACAATGTGAATTTAAATCATGTGATTGATGGCATTCAGTCTAATATTGCATATGTATATTCTTAATTAGTGCTATAACATGTTTACAAATTAACATTGGCATAATGAGAGTTATGATGAAATACGTAGTCAATAGTACTTATTTTATTGATTTTTCAATCAGTCAAGGTTTGATATCAAAATAGGTCTAACCTTTATTCTCGATGTATGGAGGGACATGCATCCTTGACCTACAATATGGTAAACTTATATCCAATTCGAATGAAATTTTTTATCCAAAATATCAAACTAGAAAGAATAGTATTCGTATAGTAGGGAGGAATAAGAATGGCATGATAGAGTGATCGATGTATAATTTGAAGGGCTAAGAAACTCTTTTAGATTAATATGATAGTTAGGGTCTATTGGAGGAAGTCTTTTAACTCTTAAAATGATCCGAGCAAGTCATTAAACTATTTGATATGAATTCTCCTAAAAGTACTTACTAAAAGTTTTATAGTAAACGGGTCAGGTTTATTGTTTTAATAAGTTTTCACTTAAGCTAATAAACATTATGTTTATATGTAGGGACGGATCTAGAAATTTAGGAACATACGCGTTCAACCAAAGTCGGTAGTATTTGCTTAAATAAATAAAATTTTGTTAAAATTTTTATTTAATATGTGTAAATATTAAATTTAAAAATCAGTAAATTAACACTTGAATTATTTATTTTAAAATTTAAAATTGATAAAATTGAAATCTTGACTTCACCACTAACTTATATATACTCGACGACTTCCTATGTAAATACTTTATATGTTGATTGCTTTAGCTTCAACTATAAAAATGACTTAGATTAGATTTTTATTATTTTAAGTATCTCATTTTAATAATCAATTCCTTCAATTTATATGTCGTTATAGTATGGCTGCTATTGGTAAAATAATTTGTCCCGTTCTACAACTGTTTAAATTATAATACATCATCAAGAATAGACCTTCAATTATTATATAATATAATATATTATCGATTAACATTAACATTCGAATAAAAGGTAAGTTATACATAAAAAAAACGGATATAAATCAAAATTTAAATTTATAATATCGTATATATCTGCTATACTTAATTAAATATTGTTTACTTGATATGTATTTTACAGTAAAAATTAATTATGTAGATGAAATTTTAAAATTAACAATTTTTTTTTTGTAAAATAAAAGATGATCTAATTAAAATATATATTTACTCAATACGAAATGTCAAAAGCTTCAAATAAGTAAAAAACAAAACTGAAATTAAAAAATGTTCTAGTTTCAAATCCATACCCTGCACTTAAAATGACAGATTTAAATCAGTAAGTCAATCAACTCAATATGAGAATAAACACACAATTGAAACTGATATATTAACGATCAGCTAAAATTGATATGTTATTATGTAATATTTTTTATTATAATGCAATATTTAATATTCACGATATATAAAGCTCATCGAGAAAAACCGCTTTAAACTTCTTCAATTGGACACTCATCTTCAGAAATGTCGTGGAAGTTCCAAACAAGTACTTCCCAAAAAGGTCGTAATCTACTTCTAGAAATACCAATAACATGTCCACACATTTACCAGCTCTATCTATATAATAAAACCAAATAATCACCTTTTCTTCTATATATTATACCGTTTCGAGTCATCCTTGTCTGCGCACGTGGGTTTATATCAAAAATTAAAAAATTTATACTTCATTATATTTGATATTTATTTTGAAATAGAATTAAAACAAAAGTTATATAAAAAAAAATCTCAATTTAATACTAATGAATTTCACATAAAAAATATAACTTTAAATTTAAAATTTCTAATTAAAAATAAAAAAATATTTTTCACTTTGCTACGATTATTTTCTTGAATAATTGTATATAGTTCTCTTATCTATTAACCACATAACGTTTGCGGGTCTCCCAAGTATTTATCTCTATAATCTTCCAAACCCTTATTTCCTCCAAGTTTCCCAATTTTCAGTCAAGACTTTTTTTCCAATACCTTTTTGTCCTTTTTTTCCATTTTTTCTTCATTATCCCTTTCCAAGAAGCAGCCTCTTTATGCCTAACTTTTTCCTAAATCAGTACCTATTTATACCTCTCAAACAAATTCCATTTCCCATTCACTTCATCATCGTACTATTAACTACTTTCTAGTTGAATTCTAAGGTTCTAGCAATCAAGTTAGTTGTCGATAAACTAATTTGAGATTGAAGCGTAGTTATGATAATGAATAACAAGAAACAAAAGAGAAAAGACGGTTATAAATCGAAGAAGTCAAATTTCAAAGTTGTGTACATTTCTACTCCGATGAAAGTTAAGACAAGTGCCTCGAGATTTAGGTCACTTGTGCAGGAACTAACGGGACGGGACTCGGATATAGCGAGAATTATGGAGACTAATGGGTCGATAACGGAGTATGAAGATATTCACAGTGAACGGGATGACTTTAATGAACTTCCAGTAAAATCGTCATCACCATCATCATCGTCTTTGCTAGCAAAATCATCTAATTCAACTCCTATGAGTTCAGAATCTGATAATTATTTTATCGAGCCTAATTTTGATGATTTATTTAATAGCCAAATGCAAGAGCAATTCCTTGCTTTTTTAGCTTCATCAAACTATAATTTGCCACCTAGAAGTGGTGATTATTTAGCTGAGATTGATGTTCTCGGAAGCTATGATGCACTACTTTAGATTTATTTTATTTTTGGATAATTAGTTCGGTGGGTAGATATGATCGACTTAATTAGTAGATATATGTATGTATATATGTATTTTTTTTAATACTAAGTGGATATTATTTAGATGGTGTACTGTATCATCATTATAACATATATATAGATTTGGAAAACCTTCGTTATGAAGAGAAAAAAAAGAGTATGAGTTATAAATATTTATTATTAGTAGAAAGATTTATAAAAATATTTCTCCGGTTATTTACGGATAAGGTATATAAGTTTATTTGTGAGAGATGTAATCTTAAAAAAATATACTCTTTGTGTTTTATTTATTAGGCAATATTTAGTCGGATACGAAGTATAAGAATACTTTGAAATGTTTATCAAATTGTTCTTTAAAAAAGTAAACTTATTTTTCTCTTTCATCATAAATGTATTTGAGTAATATTTTTAAAATTAAGTGAGACCAATAAGGGTAAAAAAGGAATTGTACCTTCAAATATTTACTATATAATGAAACTTTGACTGTACATATAATTTAAATAAAGGAAATTTAAACTTACATAAATAGCATATACTATACTCAGAAAATATTTATTATTTATAATAGTAATATTTTTTTCACTTGATCATGTTTAACAATTTTAATATATATTACATATAACAATGTACAAAACACATATAATACAAATTTTATTGATAAATAATACATTTTTTACACATTTTAATATACTGTGTCAATTTTTTAAAACAGTTATGTTTTAGATTTATCATAGTATTACTATGTATTGCTATAAATGATACTCCAATAAATAAAAAAAATTACTAAAATCGATACTTAATTTATTAAAAGATAACCATGTAGTTTTTTCTAAATCGTAAACATTTAGTATTTGCCAATAAGGATTCAGATTAAATTAACTCACTAATCATAGAAGTAAATTACATAAATCTCATACTTTTAATATGAAATTATAATTTATCTTTAATAAGTTTCTAATTACATTAATCTCTTAAAAATTAAAAATATCCAGATACAATAATGGAAGCTCAAATACATTTATATGTATCTTGGATACATTAAATATTGTCTCAGATATATTAATATGTAGCTCAAATACATTAAAAACTAGCTCGCATACATTAAATACTTGCTCGAGTACATAAATATGTATCAAATACATTAAAAAATAGTTCAAATATATAATATCTAACTCTAATATATAAAATATTAGCTCAAATATATTTTAAAAGAAGAAATTTTAGAGATTTTTAAAAATAATAAAATAAGCAAAACGAAACGTTTATATTTGTCTAATTTATCTTCTTTTTTCTCATTGTGAAAGAGACAGATTCCAAACTAATAATGAGACTATGTACTTGCCGCTGTTTGATTTGGGTAATAAATATCCCTTTATTTAATCAGCATTTTTTCTAATTAGTTTCAACTATGGGTTGAGCACTTTGAGCTATCGTATAAAAAATATTTTAAGAACAAATAACCAATGGGTTGACGGTTATGACGTGTTTTATTTGATTGTTTATATATTAGGTAGGGCTGTTCAAAATCGAATCAAAATCGATAATTTGAATCGATAAAAAAGTTATTGATTTATAGTATTGGGTTATTAATTTAGTCGTTTTGATAACGATTTTAATTTTTTTTGTTATCGGATTATCGGTTCTTAACGGTTTGAAGTTTTTTCTTAACAAGTTAACCGATAACGCGATACTAAATTAAATAATTATATTTATACCATTTTGTATAGAAAGTCCTCGACTTAGAGTTTGATTTCCTACTTTTATTTTTGATTGTCTCAAACACTTGGTTATTCAACAATGTAAAAGTGTTTGCTTTTGACCAAGATGTAACATGTGAACTCGAGTGCATGGTGTATTTGGTTTGTCACTTTGTTTCTAAGTAATTTTTAATGTTTTTTCTTTTGTGTCAAATCTTAACGGTTAAACCGATAACCGAACCGATAAGGATGAAAAACCGATAAGTCAATATTTTAATTGTTATATAACGATTTAGCATCTCCACAAACTGATAACCAATAAGACAACTCGATAAACTTTAAAATCTAACCGAACCAACCGATTCCAATGATAGGTGACACGTTTCTTGAATTAATTTCATGTTGATCTATAATTAGAAAATTATCATTATTTAGTTATAATATTACTCTACGTGATAGGAAATAATATTAAATTACTATTTGTAGAAGAAAATTAAAATGACATAATAAAGATGTGTGTTTTTTCATATAAAACAACCTATTAAATAGAAAATATCGCAGACATATATAGTATCACATTATAATAGGTTATTTATGGATAACATAATTTTAATTGACAGGACTCGTAGTAAAATTATCGTCTGGGCGAAAGATGAAGACTAACTTTAAAGTCTAAAGAATTCAAAATAGACACGATTAAAGATTAAGATTTGGAGTGTAAGTGCAATAGGCATAATTAAAGATTATTATTTGGAGTGTAAGTGCAATGATTTGACACGTGTGTTTGGTGTGGAGGCGAAACTTAATATAAATGTTACTCTCGATAGAGGAAGTTTCAAGTATCTTGGATCTCTAATCTAAAAGAAATATAAAGATTGATAAGGATGTATCACACATTGTATTAGCATAAAGAGGATGAAACAATAAGAATGTCCACCAAAACCTAAAGACAAATTTTATAGAATGATAATCATGTTAACGATGTTAGTTGGACAAATTGCTTGATAATTAAGAACTGATCTTCTGAAGATAAGAGTTGCAAAAATAAGGATATGTGAACATCATATTTAAGACATGTTGGAACTTATCTCTTTGGTGAACAACGTGAGGGGAGTAAGATTGTGATGGTTCAGACTTGTGAGACGTCCAACAAAGGAGGTATGAGATTGACAATGGTTAAATTTAGGAGATGTAGGGATAGGTTGAAAAAAATATTAAGGAGAAGTGATTAAACAAGTCACGATGTATCTCCAACAGAAGACCTCAAGACATAGATAGGAGGATATAAAGGACAAAGATTAAGACAAATTATTTTTTATAAGGCCTATGTGTTATCTCGCTTTGTAGGTCTGCGTGTTATCTCGCTTCACTGCCAGACAAACTTAATGCGTCGTACGTATATTTTCTTGTGTACCAATGTCCACTGTTCAATATCATATGTACTAGCCCCAAAATTTTTCATCGTCCAATTTCTATTGATGCTTGTTATTTCTTTTCTTTAAATATCACATTATCTTTTTGTTGTTAATGTTCTTTTTCTAAATGTTTACATAATGATTTCTACCTTGTTTATTTCGATTGTTTTACTATTAACTGTTTTGACTAATGTTACTCGAATTGAGAATCTTTCATAAATAAATGTTATATTTCACAAAAAAAAAAAATACAAATTCGTATAAACTTTATTCTTCTGAAATTCTACATTTGGAATTAGATTGAATAGGTTACTTGCAAAAGTTGAAACGCAAGAGTTTCTACTTTTGGAGCAAATTGTTGAACATATTCTTTTTGGGAATAAAACACTTCCATTTATATACATGTCATTAAGTAACTTTTAAAAAAGAAAAAGTAACAACTATTCTTGAACAATTCAAATCATCATAAAATTCCTTAAAGGGCCAAATGATACAAATAATTAAATACTTTCGATTTATTTGAAATGTTTTAAAAGATTATTTTTTACGAAAGTTTTATAAATTTATTATTATGTATTACTCGTGTAGATAAATATCATATATTAGATCAATAAAATAGATATGTTAAGATTGAACTTAACTTTTAATTCGCGGGATAAAATTTTTAGAGAACTTTTGTATCAAGAAATAAATTGTCACTAGGCTTGGAGGATGTTTAAATTGACTTAAAAATTAGTTAAACATATTTTAAAATCAATTTTTGACTTTTAGAAGCATTTAACAAATGTAGAAATAACTTAAAATAAGTAAAAAAAAAATGACTTAAAAATAAATTAGAAAATATCTGACAAGAATAAAAATAACTTTAAGTAAATTAAAAATAATTTTTAAAAAATTAAAAATCAAAAGTAGGCTCCCTTTGCCTTTTGTTTTTAACTTAAAATTATTATTTTTTTGAGTCAATCCAAACAGGCTATAATGCATATCTTGACGTATAAATTCTTCCACTAAACTAATGTCATATAACACAACTCATGCCACCGAACTTATGTCGTGTGACATAATTTGTGCAACTAAACTTCTAGTTTTGAGCATTTCATATTTTTTAACCTCTATACATTACTTTTAAGTTTTATCGTTAAACTTATATCCATAGAGATAGTTTTAACTAAAATTATGACTTAAATGTTTTTTATACGTATCTACGGTGTCCATAAATTTCAACTCTTCTTTTGTTTATTTATAATTTTGCAGGATAGGAATTAAAAATTAGTGAGTTTGAGAAGCAAAAGACAACCCAAAATAGAAGCATGTGACTAATGACCTCACATAATCCACCTACTAACAACTCTTCCATTTACCTAATACTCTACACAAAACCAAATTAAGATATTCAAATGAAACACACAAAATATTATTTTAACTAAAATAAGGACAATTAGATAATTATAATTTTCCATGTCCTAAAGCTAAAAATAAATAAATTAAAGCAGATCCATTAAAATTAACAAATGATATGAAGGAATACTTTAGCATTATAGAAGAGAGAAGGATTTTATTTTATTTTTTTTATTTGCTCATGTTTGGTAGATGAGAGAAAGTGGACGGAAAAAGCGATTTCTCATTTCTCTGTGTTTTCCTTTCTCTACCATATGTGAAGTATATCGGGTCATTTCTCTTCTCCGCTCATCGGCTCCCCCGTGAACTGCCGTCGTGCCAACTTCAGGACGCATTTGTTTCCGATGAGATTTTCACTGCAAACATCAATTAAGGATTTCGATTTTCATCAGAGCACACGAGAACCGTAGATTTTGACCTCAAAAACCCTAGCAATCAGGTTGGTATCCTCTTCTTTTGGTTCTTTTTATTTTGTGTTAGTGTCCGTGTTTTGGAAGGTGGAACGCCTAAAGCTAATCTCTGGTTCGTCAATTTTAACCGTTTTGGTGACATTTTTCTTTGCTGGGATCAATTTTGGTTGTATTGATCTAGAGAGTGATGTGCTGCTTGCATTTCGTTATGATTTAGTGAATGTTTTCGTAAATATGCAGGTTGTGATGTTGTGA